GCCCCAGCAGACACAGGCCCCCTTGTTCGGTGACCTGAATTCCCCGCCGCGAGCCCTGGGACGAGTAAGGCCATCCTTTTTGCATGAGTTCCTGGGTTAAAAGATGAGTCCCCGACGCTCCCGGGACGCCTCCCCCGCCTCCTCGCACAGACGCCCTTTGTCTGCTGGCCGCCTCAGTAACAAAGGGAAATATTCACTGATAGGGCTGGGATGGGCCCAAGGTCCATGGGAGCTCTCCTCCCGGCGGAGAGATGGGTCACTTCTGGTGCTGTTCAGAGTCCACGGAAGTTTTCCTCCTCTTTGAGAAATGGGTCATATCTGGGGCTGGAACTGGCTTTTGCCATCTGTGGAGCTCGGCTGGCAGCTCCGGACATTTGCCCAGAGAAGCGTGGAGCTCTCCTGGCGCGGACATCACAGCCCTATTTCAGACCACGCGTGGTCACACAGCTACAGCTCCATGGGTGAGCCCAGTCTTTAACCAAAGCACTGCTTTATCCCAGCTCCAGGCTCCCCTGCCTGGCCGGCATCTCTCCCTAAGGCATCGTGTCCCCCACCCACATTTTCCGTAGCCTGAGGAACCCACCAAGCAGCTCCCGTCTCCTGCTGACCCAAGGCCAGCTCACTGCATGGAGCAATTCTCACGCTTCAACCTGTAGAAATGTGTTTTTTGCCACTCATGTAGCTGAGCTGTTTGCAATATCTTGCACTAGACGACTGCAGCAGGCTGTAGCTGCTCTCATCTTGGCTGCAGACATCTGGCCCCACGTGGCAGACTGTGCAGAGTTCTTCACGGTAGTGCTAATAGCCCTGTGCCGCAGGTATGGGTCCAGTTCCTAAAAGGTTTCTCTGCCTGGGAGATGGCTCAGATTGCCCAGCACTGCGAAGGTTTAGAGGGAAGTCAGTGTGGGTTTAGCCCCTGAGGGTCAAAGAGAGCCAGTGAGCAGAATCACCTTCTTTAAAGCTCACGTCTAGCTTTCCACCATGGTTGGTCTGTAGCTCACACCAAGGTTATCTGGGCTCACCAATTACACTGGTGTGCCCGGAAGTTCACCAGAAAGGAAGAAGAGTGCTAAGCTCTTCCAAGTGCATGCAAGGAGGCTGCTTTTGTCACTGGCTAACTTAAAAATCCAGAGGTGGAAGGCAGCTTGCAGTCTTACCTAGGCCACCCCTTTGCACTGCCCCAAGGCAGTGCCCTTAAGCCTTCCCTTGTGGCGTGTGTCTAGCTTTTGGCATTAACACCATGTCACTCCTGTGTCATCTCTGCAGACACCGAACGGGCAGTGGAAATTCTGACCAGATACCAAAGCACCTTGAGGTCTCCAGAGGAGCAGGAGTTGAAAGCCTCCATCGGAAAGGTCTCGCACATCTTCCAAAGCGAGCTCTTCCAGGCTCTGCTGGGTAAGCCCCTTCCTTTCGGTCCCTGAAGCCTTGTGGTCAGTGGGCTTTGCTGACTGCTGGAAATGCCAGGGTGGTGACTGAGGCTGCCCCGATCCTGCCCCGAGGTCCATGCCCTGCCTGGGCTGGGGGCATCCCATGCAAACACCCGGGCTCCTATCCACAGCCACTGCTGAGCTGCACGGCACCATGCTTCAGCCATGCTGCCATGCAGATGGCAGTCCCCAAAAGGTCCCTGTCCTTTCTGCACTCACTTCAACCTGCTGCTTTCCTCGCTTGCTGCCAGCCCAAAGGAAAACTAGATGCTCTACCTTTGCTTGGGAGAATTCACACTCGCGCAGCTCCGTTCAGAGCAGCCCAGCCTTGCTCATGCTTTGACCCGCGAGTGCTGTGCAAGCAACTGCATTTCACACAAGCAATGGGCTTGACAGCCGGGCTTGTCTTTGGGCTGGGGACCAGCAAATGCCACTTCGAGCACAGTGTAGCACTGTCTGTGCAGAATTAGACAAACACAGTTTGAGTCTCACTGGACTCCACAGCTCTGCACGAGATGCGTGGATACCTCACTATATGATGTCATTTGAAAATGCACTTTCTTTGTAAAGGATTTAAAAAAAAAAAAAATCTGATGTTTTGGACTCTGAAGTCGCTTGGCTCCGTTCCCTGCTGGAACAGGCCAGATTCTGGTTGTGCAGTTCTCTTAGGGCACGAGTTTTGAAAATAGTCCTAGTGAACGATTTACAGAAGATCCAATGTGCCACCAGAGGCAGGAGCTCCCTCGCTGCTCCGCTCCTTAAGTGCTGCTTCCTGGAGGCCCCCGGGGAAACACGTGCGGTCCTTGAGGTTGCCATTTCCAGGTCTTGTGGGGGAAACCACGTTTTCCTTTCCTTCCCGCATGCTCAGGCCAGTGCCACCAGCCACCTTCACTGGCAGGCCCCGGGAGGACCCGCGGCCCTGGGTGGCCCAAGGTCCAGGGTGGGCTCTGCATCGTCCTCAGCACGTTTTGTCCCACTCTTGGCCCGGTGCTCCTCCGGAGCCCAGCGCTCTCCTGTCGTGGCAGCTCACACCTTTTCTTCACACCCCTGCACCCTTTCCTCTGCCTGCAAAAGTCCGAATTAGCATCCTCCACCTCTCTCTCCCCCTTGCCCATGTTAACACCTTTCCCCGCTGCTTCTTCTCCCCTGCCCGTACCTGTTCAAGGAGGAGCGTCCCTCTGGCCCGGGCAGAGGGCTCAGGGGCACGCGCCAGGCGAGGCCGGCGTCGGTGTCCAGCCGCGCAGGGGTCGGCAGGAGCTG